AGCTAAAGACAATATGTAGAAAGGCTGCAGGGAAAGTCTATGCAAGGAGGATAAATATGTGTTTACTAATGTGTTTAGAGTTAGCATTCTAGCAAACCTAGACTCTTAATAAAATGTTCCCTAATTTCTTAAGGCAATGCCCAGACAAAGAGAGAAGTATCCTCTCTAATAAAAGAGAAACATGCAAATTGACCATACCTTTACTACGCCCACAAGCCTCGCCCACCAGCCAATCAGGGTGAGTATGCAAATTAACCCAACCAAGATGACGGTTAATTTGCAAATTCAGGCCAGAGTGAAGACTGAAGACAGCGTAGAAAGAAGCCAAGCTGCGGAGAAGCCAGGGAAGCAGGTGAGGCGGAAAGAAGAGAGAGAAGCTGGAGGAGCAGCAGAGACTGCAGTAGGAAACCCTATTGCAAGAACCTTCCTGCAAGGGACATCTAGTTTGGAAATAAATTTTAAAATGTCTTAAGAGAATCATTTAAATATAATTTTGAAAAAAAAATTCATTTTAAGATCTATTTGCAGAAAAAATGTGAAATTATAACAAGTCTATTCAGTCTAAATTCCATTTATGTCATCAAAATATCAACCAAGCCCATTCAGTCCCAGTTTGTAGTGGGACTGATGAATGGCATATAAAGCATATTTTCATAATCTATTACAGTTACACAATCATTGGTGGGTCAGCAGACAGGGAACAACTACTGCAGAGAGTCAAATTGGGAGTTCCAACATGACCCTTTCTGCTTCTGATTCTTGTGTGTGTGTATGTGTGTGTGTGTGAGTGTTTGTATGTTATCAGGCATATCTTCAAGAAAATTTCAATTTGGGGAAAACCCATTATAATTCATTTTCTGGGCATATTCTACCCTTGAACCAGCTACTTCGCTTGCCTCTTCCTGGGCAGTGGAAGGAGGCAGTAGTGTCCTGGGGCCCGCCTGTACCAGCTTATGAGACTGTCAGATTTTTGAGAAACCCTCAGGCTGCTTATTAAACACAGCCATTTTTAAATTAAATTATATAAACTTAGAAGTAGGTAAAGTATACCATGATAAATGTAACAACTACTGGGTAATTCCTAATTGGTTCCCTGCTTTCTTGTCATCTATGCTCTTGAGTGATCTAATATGTCAGATCTGTGTATTGCTGTACACCTCTTCATGCCTCCACTTTCAGGGACTTCAGGTGGAGCATTCAAAATTGACCAGGGTAAGATATGTACACAGATAATAATTTAATAAAAAATAAAAATTAAATTAAAAAAAAGAAATTGACCAGGGTGGCAATGTTTGCTCACTGAAGTCAGCATGTGCTACAAATGAGAGCTCACCTCTGTTCTAGATGGTTGTTATCCATTTACCAGCACACGCCTTGATGGAGGCCACGGTGGGAACTGAGTCAGGGTCTTTCATATTGAGGCAGGGATAACAGGTGAGAAGAAACCACACAGATGTGATGTAAATAAATTGTCATTCTGTGAAAGCTAGGCCAACAGAAATTGAGATTCTGGCTAGAAGCAGTTGAGATAAGATCTTAGAAAAGCAAACAAAAGCCAGAGGTCTAAAGAATTAGGTGGGTGGTGAAACTGTAAAAAAGTTATTGAACTAAGCAGATTAGCAGGTTTTATAAGGTGGTAGGCATGGACAGGGAAAAAGCATTTAAAAGCAGGGACACTGAGTTCCACGTTTACCCTACGTCACTCCAAATAAAACCCTAATTTTTGAAATTATTTCTTTCCCCTCAATTCAGAGCTCTTCAATATACAATGTCTGATCTCACGTTAAGAAGGAAAGAAGCCAGCCCTTGCCAGGTGGGTGGTTCAGTTGTTTGGAGCATTGTCCCATTATAACAAAAAAGGTTGTGAGTTTGATTCCTGGTCAGGGTACATAGCACCTAGGTTACAGGTTCAATGCCTGGGCATGTACCAGAGTCAACTAATGGATGTTTTACTCTCTCATTGATATCTCTCTCTCTCTCTCTCTCTCTCTCTCTCTCTCTCTCTCTCTCTCTCTCATCTCTCCTTCCTCTCTCTCTAAAAGTCAATAAAAGCATATCCTTGGGTGAGGATTAAAAAATAATAATAATAAAAAGGAAAAAAAGCCAGATTAAAACAATTAAACAAAGGTATGATTAACATTATTTAATTCTAGAACAAATGTTCATGCTCATACACACCCCCATACACAGCTCAGCTAGAATAGCATTGATTGGAGGAAAACTATCAGAGATAGAATTAACGGCAGATACACAGGTTCCCAGTTGCTCATTCATTATAGCAGGGCCAGTCATAAGATTCAGATGACTCTAAACCTTGCGCTGTGAACTTAAGCTCCATGATTAAAGAAGGATTGACTCCTCCCTGGTGTGATCCCCTATTGTGATGTGTTAGAAACTTGGTTTCAACAGTATCCTGCCCATTTAGTGGTCGTAAGTGGTGAGATATTGTCTCTACCCTAGACACTAGGGTCCAGACCTTATAGTTCCAGTTATATGACACACCAAACTAGCAGTAGGAATTACAACATCAGGGTTTACACTTGGAGATGCATCAGTCCTTCATCAAATGCTGGAGACCAACCCTTGCATTTGACTAGGCTGGCTCATCCTGAGGACTGGGGTATAGCCAGCTACTCTGGGACTTGAAGAGGCCATCATTCTCTGCCACATTTATCCTTACTTCTCATTGACATATGGCCTGGCTCTTCCAAGAGATTCAGGGAGTCTAACAGATGAATTCTGATTAGCCTCTATTAGATAGAAAGTTCAAGGATTTTCTTTTAAACAGAAAGATCTTCTTCTGCCTGTTTCCCAGTCTTCTAGAATACATCATCCCCCTAATAAAACAATTATTAACAAATTTAATACCCCTTTTATGAACATCTGGTACAAGAATAAAACATTTCTTTTTTATCCTCACTGTTTTTGATGATAAGGGGATCTTGAATATGTTCATAGAGGGGGGAAGATTAAGTGGAAAGTGGAACATTAAATATTGAACAGAGAGAGGAGAAAATTAATGGATTAATTTCCTAAGGAGAGTACAAAGGGGAAATAATGAAAAACTGAGATGGGGCTCAACTTTGAATAAGGAAAGAGATTTTTTTTTATGAAACAGGAAGAAAGGGAGGAGAGTAATGGTGCTGAAGCAGAGAAATGTAAATATGGAGTTTATATGGGCAGCTGATAGTACTGGAACTCCTATTATGTAATTCAAATAAATCTCAGCTGCTCCCTAAATTGTGGGGGAGGGAATGGAGGAGGAGAGAGTAAAGAGTGGTTTTCAGCACAGCTCTCCCCAAAATCACCTTCTTTCTAAATCCTCATTCCTGAGCTTTTCATATTCTCTTTTATTTATTTTTTTAAGCCTCATCGAGGATATTTTTCCCATTGATTTTTAATGAGAGTCAAAGGGAGGGGGAAGAGGTATAGAAAGAAAGAGAAAAAATATCAATGAGAGAAAGAGATATTGACTGATTGACTCCCACACATGCCCTGATTGGAGCCAGGGATCGAATCTGTAATTTAGGTACATGCCCTTGACTGGGTATTCAACCCAAGACCTTTCAATCTGCAGGACAATGCTCTAACCACTGAGCAACTGGCCATGTTGCTTTTCATATCTTGATAGAAGTGAAGGGTTTATAGATTATCCGATCAGTTCTGAATCAGGCCATTTTAAAACTTTTTATTCACAGCTCACATTGGTATCTGTTATTTACCATTTCTTGACATCTCCAATGAACTTTCCAAATTAATATCCTGTTGCATAAGGGATATAAGACAAGTGCAAATACAATTTCAATTTTAGTAAACTAGATGTTCTGTGTGGAGTATGAACATCAGGTTATGGAAACACATTGAGTGGGAGGGGATCCCGCATGATCTTCAATGAGCAGAGGAAAGCTGCCATCCAAAAATGCCCTTATGACCCACAGGCGCTAACCAGGAAACAGATGGGGATCCAGAGTAGTAAGAAGAAAGAATGTCCCATTAGAGGGAGGAGAATGTGTAAAGGTCTGGAGGCAGGAGAGTTATTGGAATTGTAGGTGGGTCAGTAGGACTTGGGAGGTCAGAGAGCACATTGGGAGCCACACTCCAGAAATCCCTTCAGTGCATTCCAACGTGTTTGGAATTGATGCTGAGAACAGTGGGGGATTTCAGAAAAACTTTAAGTAGAAGAGTGACTGTGATCAATTTTGTGTTTTGAAAACATCCTGATTGGTAGTCTAGAGAGTACAAGGGTGGGAAACACTGTGAGGAGGAATAGAGTGAGAACAGTGGAGAGAAGTAGATATATCCTAGACAATAAGATGGTAGAATGCCAGACAGTGTATCTGATGAAATATGTGGCATGAGAGGAGTTACCAAGGGCAACGCCCACATGTTTGTTTTGAATAACTGGATTAATGATCCTGTTTTCAGTGAAACAAGTATTACGGGTTAGATGTCCTCAAACTTTTTTTTTTTTTTTTTTTTAAATATATATATTTTATTGATTTTTGTACAGAGAGGAAGGGAGAGGGATAGAGAGTTAGAAACATCAATGAGAGAGAGTCATTGATCAGCTGCCTCTTGCACACCCCCTACTGGGGATATGCCCGCAACCAAGGTACATGCCCTTGACCGGAATCGAACCCGGGACCCTTCAGTCCCCAAGCCGACGCTCTATCCATTGAGCCAAACCGGTCCCGGCTGTCCTCAAACTTTTTGTAAACTTAAAGAAAGCAGGGAAAATTGGAATGGTTTGGATTTACTTTTCTTCATTGTGCATATTGTTTACTTGTGCCAGGCATAAAGATGGGAAAAGTGAAAGAAGCTATGACATAATAGGGGAAAGAAAGAAAGGAAGGGGTGGTGGAAGAAAGTGACAACTGGGAATTATGTTAATTAGTCCTAATGATGACATTCTTATAGGAACCCTGGACAATGTTCGAGCAGAATTAAAGAGGACACACATAGATGGTGGGTTGAACCCAAGCCAAGGAATATATGGAACAATGTGGGTAAGTTTATAGTAAAATACAACATAGGAGGCAATCCCTGAGACTAATACAAGCATCTATAAAATGCCTTCCCATGAGCACAGGGTGGATAGGAAAGTCAGAAAAGCCAGAATGGGACAAATGTGAGAAAAAGGAAAGACAAAAAGACTGGAGGCCAAGAGACTGAGAATGAAAGGGTTATGTAGTCATCCAATAGAATGTCAGCATTCAAGAGAACAGCAGTAGTAAAATCCCAAGTCATGGTGGATCCAGATGTTGTGCAGCAAGGTTGTTGAAAGTGTCCTGAATATGGACGTGGACATTCCAAACAATGGGATCCAAAGGAAGTCTGTGAGCAAGGTAAGAGTCATACTAGAGGTCGGTAAAGCATAGAAACAAGATGAATAAAGGAAGAGCAAAAAAGTGAAACTGTTAAGAACGCATGCTCAAGTATGGGAGGAAGAGACAGAACGGGGAATAGAGTGTCGACGAATGTTTTTCTTTATTTTTTGAGAAAGAGAAAGAGCGAGGAAACCATCAATTTGTTATTCCACTTATTTATGCATTCATTGGTTGATTTTTGTATGCACGTGTCCTGACTGGGGATCAAACCCTGCAACCTTGGCATATGAGGGTGGCTCTCTAAACAACTGAGCTATCCCGCCAGGGCCTTTATTAGATTGAAACTGGTATTATTAAGAGAAAACAAGTTTGGGTAGCGATAACAGGGAAACTATACCAGGAAGGAATTAGTTTACAAGCAAAGAATATGCTAAATAATAGAAGGGGCTCAATGACAGTTGTTTTCACTCCACTGGTCATTATGGAAGCATGCAGAAGAGGAAAAGCAGGATGGTTGGGGATGGCCAGGGACACCTGGTATAGCAAGGAGCATGCTGGAAGGGACACAGTGAACATTTGTCCCCTTAGTGGCAATTTTAAAACATGCATAATTAAGGCTCTTCTGGGTCGTTAGCACTTCTAGGAACTCCAAAGTCACTTTAAGTTATTCACTAAAATTGGGGGGGGGAAGCATTATAGCTACTGAGCATTTCCATTATGAATTCTTTGTAGAATTCTCTTTGAAGGTTCTCTAGGTGCTTATTGAGCAATGTTAGGCAGAAAATAAAATAAAACAGGCAGGGAGATTATTCCCTACTGGTGGCCGTCTGAACCCAGAGAGGGTTTACTAATGAAAGAAATCTGTTCTGAAAACTTTAAGTGTCCTATTAAGTAAATACCACACATTAAAAATCAGGAAGGGATGACTAAGAGGTGGAGAAGATAGGAGGTGTATTTTCAAAAGGTTTCACCCACACCCTGTCTCGTGGCTTTTTACTCTGATGCTGCCACCACACCTAAGAGTTTCGCTTATTAAGATAATAAAGAGGTAGAATGACTAGAATCTGCTGAATAGTGCGTAGTGGTAAAAACAGTCTCTCAGAGGCTAAACCTGACAGACAAGATCAGTATTCCATCTGGAGAAGGTCTGACGATGTTAACTAATGTTTTTCCCAACCTTGTCTACATGTGTGTGCTGGTGTGTGTTGCTTTATTTTCAGCGGATCTTTGAGAATCTTAATCTCATCTTCTTTATTTTACTTACAAATTGTTGACGTTAAAAACAAAGATAAAAATTGGAATAACCTGGGACAGGGAATTCAAAGTACACACAGACTTGTTAAAAATTTATTTTTAAAAATGTTCAACTACAGTTCACTTTCAGTATTATTTTGTATTGATTTCAGGTGTACAGTGTAGTGGCTAGACAATCATATACTTTACAAAATGTTCCCCCAGTATTTTCAATACCCACCTAGCACCACACAATTATCACAATATTATTAGCTGTATTTCCTATGCTGTGCTTCACATGCCCGTGACTATTTGGTAACTACCAATTTGTACTTTTAATCCCTTCACCTTTTCCACCCAGTGCCCCAGCCTCCCTTCCCTCTGGCAATCACCAATATGGTTGCACAGACTTTTTAAGTAAAATTAATTATTAAAGTTTGACATGCAAAATATAACCTCCACAGTATCATAGGTACACAAGAACGTGATATCTGTGTGTGTGTAAAAATTCAAAAAGTAGCAGCCATCCTATCAACTATCACTGAAGAAGAGTTACTATGTGCTAAACTCCTTTCATGTTATATCATGTAACGTGGGCATCCACACCAGGCAGACGTCCTCATCCCCATTTCACAGGTGAGCACACCGCACTACATCCTCTGCCAATAGGTGATGGAGTTGAGCCCTCTGATTGCGCTAATGATGTTTGAAACTTCCCACTTAGAGTCCCATTGAAAGCAGATCTGCTCCAATTTTTAGGCGTGGCCGGTGACCTTGATTTTACCTTCCGAGGCAGGGGTAGGGGAGCTGTGAGTGTTGGGGGAGGACAGTGGAAGAGATGAAAAGGAATGGAAAGAACAGATTCAGGAGCATCGCGATGGGGCGGGTTGCTGAGCGGCTCCAGGAGCGCCAGGCGCTGGTCCGCAGAGGAGGCGCAGGAAGAGCCGAGCAGCTGAACCCGTCAGGTGGAGGCTGCACCTGCGCACTTGACCCGCGCCGGCGCCAGGTGGTGGCGCGCTCACCTGGACCCACGTGACGGGGAGGGGCGGGGCCCCGAGAGGCCCAGAGCAGCGCGGCCACGCCCCCTCCCGTGCGGCGCGCGCCGACCACGCCGACCGGAGCGGCGGCGGCGGGAGCCGGGGGAGTGGAGGCGGGCGGAGGGCGGCTGCGGCGGCGGCGCGCGGAGACGCAGCAGCGGCAGCGGCAGCATGTCGGTCGGCGGAGCGCCAGGCGTGCCGCCCCCGAACCCCGCCGTGTCCTTCCCGGCGCCGCGGATCACCCTGCCCGCTGGCCCCGACATCCTGCGGACCTACTCGGGCGCCTTCGTCTGCCTGGAGATCGTAAGTGGGGCAGCCTGCGCGCGGGTGGAGCGGCATCCTTGGCCCCCCCGTGCCGCCTCCTCTGCGCGCCCCAGCCCCCTCCCCGTGACCTTCCCTGCGCGCCCTTCTGAGCCCCGCACAGTCCCCGCTCCGCCTGACGCTGGGCGGCGGCGCTGTGGCCCGGGCCGCGCGCCTGGCACCTGTTGGCGCGGGCACCTGCGCGCCGGCTGGCGAGGGAAAGGGCCCCGAGAGGGCGAGCAGGTGGCCCGGCGGGACCGAGGCGTAGGGACTTGGAGAGGAGAAGGGTGTTGGCGTTCGAGGGATGAGCCTTCAGAGACCCCGGGCGGCTTGGCCAGCAGCCGCGCTTGGCTAGAACCAGGGCAGGCGCGCTTGGCCTTGCCTGTTGCTAACCTGCCATTTTGTTGGGTGGTGCACGCAAAGGTGTAGCGACGGCTGGTGACCAGGAGGCTACCTCGCTGTGGAAGGGGGGCGGAGGGGAGGCTGGAGGTAACGAGGAAACCTGGGCACATCCAATGCTCCCTGCTTGCCATTCTGAGTGCCCTTGGCCATGGCGAGAGGAGCGGGCTCCGGAGGGGGGCGGGGCGGGGGAGTGGGGGGGAGTGAAGCGTGGAAGGCGCCCTGGGCAGTTTCCAACCAAGTGGGCGTGAGAATGCAAGGGGAAGGTACAAACGGAGCTGTCAAGTTCCTGTCTGCCTGCCTGTCTGCCTGTCTCTGCCCTTTGCACCTCCGTTCTTCCTGCTTCACCTGTGCACACCCAAGGCTCCTCGGCACACTTTGCTGGGCCTGAGTGAAGAGGAGGTCACCTGGCTCTCGGAGGGCAGCCTTCCCGGCCTGGAGACTGGGACAAGTTTAAAGGAATGTTACGGAGGTGGGAGCTTTCGAAGCTTGCCGTAGACCAGGGGAAACTTTGCTAACATAAATTGGGCAACCTAGGGTTGCATCATGCCCCGAGAACTGCAAATAGAGTGAAATGCCAGCGCCTCTCTCCCGGGCTAGTTTTGTTTGCTCGGATTGGGCTTTTTTTCCTAGCTCTCCCCTCTCCCCTCTCCTTCTGAGTTTGCATAACCTGGATTTGGGTCGCTTAGGTTTCCCTTTTGTGCTGCTGGGCCTGGGACACCTTGTGAGCATTGGTTTCCTGCCCCATTGTGTGAAGGTGGCTAAGTTAAGTTTAGCTCCGATTTGAATAAGGAAAAGGAGATGAGTGAGTTATATGACATCAGTCGAGGGGAGGCTGGTTTGCGTCCCGGCCCATTTCGGAAGCCTCGAAAATGCCTTGGAGGAGGCGCTGGCATCCATGTGAGAAGCGTGGGCAGTGGATGGCTCTGTGCCGACGGCACCCTGTGCAGAGGGAGATCCGTGGAGAACAGTGATCTGGGGAGGAAGGTTGTGCAGGTTCTGGGCTACTTTTAATTCCATGTTCCCCAAACTCCAAAGGATCGCCTACCTCTTTGAGAACTTTGTGCCCTCTATCCACATGCCGCTTGTACTGTACTAGAATCTACAGAACGTTCACTTAAATAGATTCACACTCTAAACCTCAGTGCCTACCTTGGCCTCATCTTAAGCAATAATATATGTGAATTCTCAAATTTGATATGCTGGTTATGTTTTTTTCTTTCTAATATTTATTCAAATAGTTATGTATTTACACCCCCCCCACATATATATTATATATATATGTAAAGTATGTAAAGAAACATGCATATAAGGAACTATATGTGTGTGTATATGCAAAGAAGGCTCATCCATGTGCCAACAAATCAAATTCCAGCTCAGGGATCACCTGTGGACATGTGACACTTTCAGAAGCACTGCCTAATTCTGGGAGGAGGGAGAAAAGAGTGGGGAAAGTTCATCTATTTTCTCTCCCTTACCCTCATCTCTATTTATCTAGCCCAGTGTTAGTTCTCAACTCTTGTTGCACTTAATTACTTGGGCAGCTTCTAAAATACTGTTGCCAGCCCAGGTTAATTAAATCAGAATCTCTGGGGGGAGCACCTGCAGTCGCTAGTTTGTTTTTTTTTAAAGCTCCCAGAGGTTCTGATGTACAGTCCTAGCTGGGAACCGCTGAAGGGGGCCTTAGGGGATTTCTGTGGACAAGTCAGC